TAGGATAAGAAGACTACTTTTTCCAATACAGGATTTAGAACGTAAATGTTTATTGTGAAACAAACTTTTTTTTTTTTTTATTAAAAAGCAATGCTTAACATTTTAATGCTACTATGTAATGTTATCTCTAATAAATATAACTGGGATAAAATTAGCAATACCCACTAGGTGACTGTACAAAACACAGACCTTGCTCATTATGAGATCGCTAAATACCAATATTAAAATATAGGCCTAGAGGTAAGTAAAAGGTCTTTGCTTAAAAGAGAAATATTGCAAACAATATTTTATTTATTGCAGAAATGAAGAAACAATAGGAACTGACAGCCCTACATTTTACTTTTTTTACCAAAATAACTTAAAAGTTAAGTTGCAATATTTCCTTGCTAGCCTAGCTAGCCTAGGCCCTGGCCTATGCTGGCCCGATTACAAAATAAATAATAAAATCGTTCGCAAATAATAGGCCTCATATGCTACGACCCTACCCTACCTAGCAACGCTAGACCTAGGGCTCCTAGGCCTAGCCCGAAAAAGTACACCGATCCCGCCGGCAGGCAGTATCATGAGCATGTGGTGAAAACAAGGGTGAATTTTCTAACTTCTTAAATTTCGTGATTTCTCCGTTGCTGGCCTTGAAGCAAAAAAATCGGTTATCCTTTCTTGGCGCTTCATCCTCCTCCTAGGCTATTTTTGGTGTGTCGCATGTCCTCGATCCCAGAGAAATGAAAAATGTCGAGCGCCCAAACTTTTGTGATGACGTCGTGCCAAAGTAAATAAACTACGGAGCACGCGATTGGACAAATAGCTTAGGCAACAAACCTCTCATTAATATTCATTTTGAAGTCTTGCTGGTTACGTCATTCAGCTGGCTGCAGCTTTTTTTTTATTTCTACGATCGGATACGAACGATAGCGACAAATAAACAGTGGCAAAAATGCTCCTATTTTGTAATAAATTGCACTATTTTGGAAACGGGGGATCGTTTTCTGGTTAAGGGGGTTCGCTGGCAAAAGGGGGTTCGCTGAAAAAGGGGGATTCGCCCGAACCCCTAAAAACCCCCCTGGCTACGGGCCTGAAGAGGCCTGTCATAGGTGGAGCACTTTACCGACAAATAATAATAATACAGTAGTGTAGTTTTCTATAGCGCCATATATTGATAAGTGGACTAGGAACTCGATCAATGACTTTCTTCACTCCTAAGGATCCCTTCTTGCCTGTGCTACCCGGTAACCTGGTACCAGCAACTCTCGTCGTCCACCACAGGGGCTGTCTGCTCCACTCCACCGGGGTATCCCCCTACTCGTCTCGAAGGATGTACTAGGTTTTTTTTATAGTGTACACGAGCCATTGGTTTATAGGCCTTATCCGAGAAGACTTGTTCTACCACCAGAACTACATAGGCGAGCGTGCCGTTCGAACCAGCGCCGATATTATGGCTGTAGCTTGCGGCGCCCCTGCTAACCGCTCGGACATTTGACATCAAAAGTATATGCTCCCCCACTGGACCTGTTTCACCCAACACTGCCGCAGGCGCCACCACCTCCGATGAAGGTCCAGGTGCCGAAGGTTCCCGAAAAAAATTAAGTGATTCAGTTGCTTTGAAATACTAAGTTTGGCTCCTCTTAAGCGAAAGGCATTGAGGAGCACAGCAAGAACCCATGGCTGACAATAAGACTACCATACCATGACACCTTGGGCTAGAGTCCAGGGTATGTAAAGAGCAGTGCGACAGTTTTATGTCTTGTGAAAGGCTAACCGGAGATTGACTGTACTTAGCAATATAGCTTTTCCCATGGCCTATGCAATTCACAGTATATTATGTTGATAACTATTGTATGTGTCGGTGTAGATTTACAGTGCACACATATTTAAAACATGGGTGATTATAACTGTGTGGCGGAAATCAATTTAATATTTTAATATATATATATATATATATATATATATATATATATATCAATATATATGTCAATTTGATATAATATCTTATATATTATAGGCCTACATTATCATGTGGTGTACTTTAACGTATGCACGCATATCATTAGCTATCAGCATAAAAAAGGATGGGTTGAGCTAAACTTGAATTATATTTTTGCTATATCTTTAAAATGTGGTGGGAGTTTTTTTATCAGCTCAGTCCGTTCGGTTCAATAATCTGAGATTTCAGTTTTAGTAATTTTTTGCCCATTTCAATGAATCAAAATAATTGATAAATATCTCATCATCATTATCATCATCATCATCACCGGCAGCCCAGTCCCGAGAAACTATGTGTCAGATACCCATTGAGAGGGATTATGCATTATTTTTTATTATATTATTTATATATTTATTTTTCACATTGATAAAAATGTTTACCGTTCACACATCTTGTAATCTCCATTTAGTACATTCAACGGCGGTTTGCGTCGACGCCATTCTCTATCGCTGTCTGAATTCACCTTAACTTTGTGTTGAATACTGATAACATGCAGCTCTACCTCGATGTCAGTATTCAATGTTTCCTTACAGTATGAACACCACGACGCTAATGAAATTAAAATATACAGTTCTTATGATGCACGTAATACGCTCCACTTCTTAATTCATTGATTTATTCTTTAGCTTTATTTATTTTTACAAAAAAAAAAACCACTTCACTTGTTTGTATGTTATGCTCTAACTATTTAACAATATTCAAATATAAATCTTTACTATTTAACTTGCTTGAAATAATATTTTAAGTAATTATTCATATTTTTGTTTATATATTAATTTATTTGACTGGGCCTTTATGTGAGCATGGAGAAAATATCTTAATATATATATTCTCCATGATGTGAGTGACCCATTTGTATCCAAGGAAGTGTGTTTGCAAATTAATGCATCAAGTGGTAATAACTATAATAATATAATGTAACTGGCTATAGCACTAAAATACTTACTTTTACTTGGTATTTTTGATAGTGATGTTTTTGAATTCCAAAGGATTGATTTACCTCCATTTGATGTTTCCTGTGGAAGTTAATGTCAGCATAATGTTTAATAGAGATATTTTTGCAAATGTTATCAAAGCATTTTTTGATAAGTTATTTAGATGTCAGACCAATTAGAATGCCTGCGAGGTCATGATTTTGCAGACCACTGTTTTACCAGCGCAGTCGCATTGGATTTGGTCCCCCTTCATTTTATGGGTTTCAGTTTTTGGTTACTAGGGAGCTTTGATTGCATGACGACCATAGGCGTAGATCCCGGGGGGGGGGATGGGGGCTATATCCCCCCAATATTTGACAAGGGGGGATGGTCCATTGTATCATCCCCCCCCCCATATTTTGACTATGTATGGGATAAAATGGAACTTTACACACTTCAAAAGACTGTCAGAGAAATAATTTGCAATGTCTTATGCGCTTACAAAGATGAAAATTAGCATACTGTACCGTATTAATGTTGATAACAAAATTATTTTATCTGGTACCAATCTAAGCTCTTCCTTCCTTAGATGTTAGATGTGCTTGCAAAGCAAGCCACATTTACACACTGAAGGGTGTGTACGACATCAGTAATTTTATGTTAATTCCAAGAATTTTCAATCATCCCCCCACCCCCCAATGAAAAATACTTTTCTACGCAATTGATGACGACGGTAAGACGTAGAACGTAATGACGTCACTAAAAGTCATCTGCGCATGCGAGAACCTTAAGGTCACAAAATCTACGTATGCAGAGAACGTACGATGTTAAAGCCCCATTCCCGGCAAAATTTCACTAAAAATTGACTTTTTTTAGAAAATATGCATTTGCATTACTCCAATTATTATAAATCATGGAAAAATATTGGCATGAATTTTAATTTTACGCAAAAGAATAAAAAAAAAAAGAGAAATACAGACTATTTCTCATAAAATATTAC